AGGCCGGCGCGCCCATTGGCTCCCCGACCGCTGTGGACCCCGCGGCCACGTGACAATAACAAGGCTGCAGCCCAGGCTCAGGCACGGGAGAAAGTGGATCCGAGATTGAAGGAAATTCAGTTACATTTTCCAGCCTCTCCAGCCAGAAGTCTCCACTACGTCCTGGGAACCATCTATCAAATGGAGTTGAAGGGCAAAAGGGAATGAGCAAACAAGTGAGCAAATGCTAGGCTAGTTCTGAGTTGGAGGTAATCAGGAGAACCCTGGGGAGTAAAGTTATATTAGCTCTGTTACAGGAAACCTTTCAATTCCAGATTAAAACAAAACAAAACAAAACTATATGTATTAACCATCCACCGATCAAACAACGGTTTCAATGAAAATGCAGTTATTTTAACATTAATATCTCTGGAGTTAGTTTTCCCCGTAAATTAGAACCAAAAATAAAAATGATAATGAAACGTAAAAGTCAGGTTTTGGAAATGGTATATTAAGTTACGAGTAGCCAGCCTTAGTTCTCTGGGTAGAGCTGGGGGGAAATGACCTCCCAGTCAACCAGAGATGGCAATCATAGATTCCCAGGCAATAGTTAGGCATAATAAAAGTCGTATTTACTGGGATTTTGGAAGAAAAATTTAATACATGCACCTTGATCTACGTAGTCTTTGAGTGACGACATATCTTGATTGAGAATGCTACCAGCCTCCGAGGGAGGGGTGAATGAAGGTAAGGTTTGATTAAGGCCATAAGACTTCCCAGGGAAGTCTGTGCTGACTTCCTCTTGCAGGTGATTGGGGTCCCTGAATGTTGAGAAAGATGGAAACCTCAGAGATCATCTGCAAACTCTTCTTCTGGAGGAGTCTGGACAAAGTACTGGGCTCAAAAGGTAACTCACTTATTTGTGGCAGAAACAAAACCTGGAAGCTTACTTTAAGCTTTCACTTCTACAGATAGTGTATTGAGCTATTCCTGTGTGTCCTTGGGGCCACTTAGCTGCTCTTATGGAGGAGTGGGCGTAACTCGTGGAGCTGGGACTTTAACCCTGATCTAATAGCCACTGATTTCCACTGTAACAAATCGCTGTGTAAGTGCGCACGTTCATAGGAAAAGGAAAGGACTTGATTTCAAGTTGACACACCCTATTTTAGATCATTTATCCCATCTTCTTTCCAACTGACATTGGCATCAACCCCACCATCTTTTTAAATGATTTACAAACAAAAATATTTATAATTTAAACGATGATTGTGCCTCCTTGTGAATGGACAAGATTCGCTACAATAATGCTCTGGGTTTTCCAGCTCTGGATTATCCATGTGTGTCGTGTAAGGAAAATCAGACTTGGTGCATTGGGGTTTTTATAAAGAAGAAAAATGCCATTATGGTGATGTCATGTTCCTGAGATGTCACCACATAATAGAGGTAAAGCACAAATTTTCTACCATCGGGGTGACATTTCATTCAATTTATTTTCTCACTCTACACTCTCTTTGTATTATTTCATCTTTTTTCCATGAATTAAATTTGCATTTGTATTCTGATATTTAATGGCATCCATGTTTCCAACTCATATCTTTCTTGTAAAGGAAACAGTACATCCATGTATACATTCAGCCACCTACAGGTCATCTCAAATGGGATATTCAAATGTGTCGTGTCTGAATTACTTCACAATTCACTGCCCATTAAACTGATTTCTTTTCTTCCTGAGTTCACTATCCCCTAGGAATACCTCCCTCCATCCTGGTGCCTTCAAACCTGAGAGACACCTTTAACACTGGTCACTCTTACCACCACCATATCCAATTAATTAGCAGGACCCGTTAAAGCTATGGCTCTAAATGCGTCTTGTGTGTACTTTCACAAATGTTGCACAGACTTGGTCCCCCTTCAGTTCTTGCTTGGATTACTGCCACTGCCCCCTCCTATCTGGCATTCCAGACCTTTCTCTACAATGCAGTTAAGTGATATCCCTCAAGCTTCAATCCAAGCCTGTGACTCAACTCTGTAATTCTTTTCCCCAGTTACCATTGTCCTCAGAGTAAAGTTCAAATTCTTTAGAGTGACCTGTGCTGCTTTCTTTGCATTTTAATTCATTATATTTCAGCATCCCCCTTTTACTCTAGGAACTACTTGCAATTCTCTTTCCAGCTGTGCCCTTTGCCCCCTTTCACTTGCTGGTGGCTCTGTACAAATCACTCTTTGTCCCTCTTCTGCCTGGTTGATTTGTGCTTCTACTTAGGTATCCCTCCTTTAGAGACTTCCCTACATCCTGCTTAACTAGTCCTCCAGTGTGCTCCCAGTGTTTCCAGTGTTGCCTAGGTTGTCACTCACTAAGTTGGAAATGCAATAAAATCTCTTTTATCTAGCTCTATTTATCAATCTTCTGGATTAGCTGTTACTTTCAATCCTCTCTGTAAGATCTATTAGCTGGTGCCTGTAACCAGATGGAATCTGGAGGCTACCAGTCCCTCCCTAGAACACCCATTGCATGTGCTCCTACCAATCAGGTGCTGATCCTCAGTAGTGCCAGACTGGCATATATCCATAGTTACACAATTGAATAAAGTGTGAACCAAATAAATGCAAACATAAGAAAATGACGTTTCTCAAAGAAGTAAAAGCAGCAAATAAACATATGAGAAAATGTTCCACATCAGTAGTCATTCGAGAGATGCAGATGAAAACAGCACTGAGATTCCACCTCACCCCAGAAGGAATGGCTGCTACCATGAAATAAACCAATAACAAATGCTGATGGCTGCGGGGAGACAGGAAGCCTTCTTTGTTGGTGGGAGAGCAGACTGGTGCAACCACCATGGAAATCAATATGGAGATACCTTAAACAACTAGGATTAGAAGTCGCATTTGACCCAGCTATTCCTCTGCTGGGTATCATCCCAAAAGAATTAAAAGAATCATACCACAGTGCTATAGGCTCACCCATGTTTATAGCGGCACAGTTTGTAATAGCTAAAACTTGGAAACAGCCCAATTGCCCATCAACTGGAGACTGGATGAAGATGATTATTTTGTGGTTTTTTTTTTTATAAAAAGGAATACTACTCAGCCATAAATAATGAGAATCTAGAGATGTTTATAGCTAAGTAGATGCCCATTGAGGCCATGGTCTTAAGTGAAATTAATAGGAAGCACGTGTATAAATACCAAATAGTTTCTGTGGTGTGAGAAACTAGAAGTGTAAATAAGGATCAAAATATATAATTGATATTGTGTAATAGGAAGAAATGGTCTAAAGGAGCAGGGGAAATGGGAAGGGTAGGGGAAAGGTCAGAAGGGAAAAGAGAAAATATGAGAAAAGGAAAAAAATGGAAACAAAGTCTTTGTCAATAGGGAAGGGTGGAGGGGGGGAAGCGAGGGTGAGGAAGTGGGGAGAAAATAAGAACCAAGATACATCACATAAAGACACAAGGTACTAATGATGAATAGAACTTTACTGAATACATAAAAAGTACCGATAAACTTAATGAAAAAAAATGACTTCACTTCTTTGATCATAAATTTGAAGCTTGGGAAATATCCTTTAAAGGTAATTGCAAAAACAATGATGTCAAATTAGATGAGGGCAAGACAATTGTAAAAGTGGGAAGGGGTCTCAGGGTACTATTTGAGCTGCTGTGACAGAAGCTGGAGTTCAGTTCTGGAGGCTGGAAAGTCCAAGGTCAAGGGGGTTTACATCAGATGAGGACTGTCTTGCTACATAATTCTATGACAAAAGTCACTACATAGGGGAGGGGTGCTGGTTTCACCCCTTTTATCAGGAACTAATTCCTGCAATAATGGTATTAATCTATTCATGAGGGCAGAACCTTTATGACCTAATCACCTCTTAAAGGTCCTCTTAGTACTGTTGTGTTAGGAATCGAATATCTAACACATGAACTTTGAGGGACACTTACTAGGGGGATTACAAATAACTAGAAGAAGTCCATGCACGTTACTTTTGCAAGCATCTTTAACATCTTGTTCTACCTCAGAATAACCAGAAATGGTTCCATTTCCAGAAATGGAAATCAATTAACAGAGGATGCTTAATGGGTATGGCTTATGCTTG